AAATCGCTCCAAGTGCTCCGGTGCATATACCCTCCCTCAGAACATCCGGCATGGCAAACTTTACTTGGGCCTGGTACTTCACGGAAAATGGTTTGAAGCTGTTTGGAACATCTGGTATTCTCCTCACACCTCAAGCCAGGCAAAGCCCTTGTGTTCACGCTTTTGCTCCGTGCATGCAGCGAAAACCCACGTGGCCTGGCCGTTCTCGGGCCAAATGGGCAATCCGGTGGCAAGCTGGGCGCGTTTACCTGTAGACTCTTTGAAACCCCCCAGGGCTGAAGAAGCGGCTTTCCTTCCTCCCTATGGGCTCACAGTTCGACACTCAGCTCCGCTGATGGAGCTAGTGAAAAGGGGCTGCGGGACACCATACACGAGTCCACATGCAGCAAGCTACCTTATATTACAAGCTAGCAACTCTCTAGATTACTCTACATCTCTACAAAATCTCAACTGTACACATACTACTAAAAACATATTCAACACTTGTCTCCTTAAAGACTTGTGAGCCGGTTGACACGCCAGATTAAATGTATAGGGTGTGCACTAGCGGATGCGTCTTCATGAAACGGTGCAGGATACAAGCTCCAGCATGCTTGGGAATTTGGGGAAACTGCTACGTGTCTGACTTGGAGTTCTCAGTCTAGAGTCTATCCGATATCCAAGTCCAGCAACCCAGTGCTAGCCAGCGCCAAATGTAAGGTTCCAGGAGGTTGCCAGTTAGATTCTAATCAGTTCTGGCGGTGTTCCGTGAAGAACAAGGAGGTAGCAGAAGGGTTCCATGAGAGTACGGGTGTAAGGTTTTAGAATTTCACATGGCGGGTTCTGGGAATTCCTGGCTGGGTTTCCTAAGGTTTCAGCTCACATCAGCTTCAGGGGCGAAGGGGCACCGCTTGATTGATAAAACCAAGAATACCGTAGTGCAAATGCTTTGCCACCAACCTTGCGAGACTTCAGGTTGCACCTTACCAAGTGCAGTTGAGCTTCCACGTTTGTAAGTAGGTCCCAGGAAAAGCGTGGCACCTGGCTGCGGATCAATTGTGCACACGAGCGCATGGAGTAAACGAAGTTAGGATACAGTGGTTTCAGAGTATATAGATGTCACAAACCCAAAGATGTCTTTTATATGGGTTCCACATAGGCCACCTTTTGGGGATTCTGCCACCTACTCTGAAAAGCAACTGGACGCCCTGGCGATTTCTTTCAAACCCCAGTTCATGATAGATTGATTGTTGAATGAGTGATTGATTAAGACATGCTTCTCGGAGAGGGGTTGGCATATGTGTACACACAGTACCCCCCAACATGTTTGAGAGCACGGGGGTGCCACAAAAACTTACATGTGAGAAACAATGCTTAACTATTTTGGAGAAACACGCAAAACATAGCAAAACTATATCTATACACCTGACTTCTTCAGGAACCCGAACATTGTAATTCTACAACACATTCCACCAAGGCACCACCTCTGCTGCAGCCACCCATGTTTTCAGCGTTGGATGTTGCTCCAGAATGGCCCTGGGTCTAAAAAGTCCAATGTCCTGGACAAGGCGACAAGGCCAAACCTTGGCAAGTCCCATTCTTGACACCCGGTAGCCAGAGTATGCATGTGCCATCGTCGCTCACATAAGTATACTGTGTATATCTATTTATAGAGGGGCTAGCATATACATACATATATATATATACATACACATCAGTAGGTGTATCTTTTCACCTCTGGAAGAACATGTTGAAACCCACGCTACAAAATGACACATCGTTGGGGCATGTCTCTCAATAAACTGCATTTGACGCGTGCTCCTCCGCTGGGAAATGGATGTGAACCACGACGTCCTTCACAATGTCATCCCATTGCCTTGCTGAAATCTTATGAAAAGGTTTTCTGGTTGGAAGATTTGTCACAACGAAAAGCTCAAAATACACTCACAAAAGAGCTGCTGGTGAGCTACATGCTCCACCACACATTCACCCCGCTCATGTTGCACTCTCGCGCTAAACGTGTAAAACATCTAGAAACAGTACCTCAAACACCCGGCCTCAAATCAACCTCTGCCAGCGTTGTCGTCTTAGCCATGTCACCGAGCTGTACCACCTCCCGAGTGGAGTCAAGTCTGTCGAAGGTTTGTGTGTCAACACTTTGTTTCAGCCCCCGGCAATGGCCCGCAATACAAATGTATAAATCGCCACACAAAGCAACACGGGCTACCGCGGCTATGGAGATCTCTAATAGGTCTTTTGCCTACGCCAATTGCCGATTTGCAAGATTCGAGACCGGCCTCACGTGAGCTTATGGACTTGTGAGATGGTGAGGACACTCGTGCTGGTGGTTGGATGGCGATTTGAAGCTTCAATGACGGTGCCTGGTGTGTAGCAGCCTCCGGGCTCAAAGGCGTAGACGGTCAACGGTCAGCTTTTTCTACAAATAAGCTTCATCGCTGTGAGTTCAGCATCGTACACAGGGGAAAGGAAAAGTGTCACGGGTCATGCAGGACCAATGGAAGGAAAGGTGAAAGAAATACAGTAGACAATGAAATTGGAAAGATGTAATTAGGCCGAAAGAATTGGACGTACACTAGGAGCAAGGGCATCGCTACTAGTAACAAAGGGCACTACTACTAGTAGCAAGGACGCTACTAGTAGCTCCTGGCATCGCTACTAGGAACAAGAAACTACTAGGAACAAAAACCACAAGTCATTTCATGGTGTGATGCCTGCAGCTCCTCTTCAGATCGAATGCCATCGGAGAAGCCCGCCGGCGAGTATCGACTGGGCGCGCCCACAGTGGCAGGAAACAGCAACCTGAGAAAGCCCTGCTTCTTCAAGTCCGAATCCTGGGAAAAACGGGAAACGACTCCAACCAGTTCTGGTACCTAGTGCACCTTAAAGTACTGCCTTAAAGGACCGTGGACAACCTTCGCAACCACTTGACCACATTGAAAGAACAACATTTGCGCTCAGCCATCACTGTTTTTGGGTGGGAATTTGACAGGCTGTGCTTTGGATGGAGCTCAAAATGCAATGACTTTCAACAGTCCGGCCTCCAAATTGAGCTCTTGCACGTAGGAGAAGTTCACAAACGTCGACTTGTGTGTTGGGATGTTCCCCAGGGAGACACGATACCTGGGATAAATCCAGTCGGAAAGAATGTCTGACATCACTTTTTGCCTGCCTCTGGCTCAGCCAAGGTCAGGCCATGTCACAAATCCATTCCGTTCCGAGCTTGACTTGCGCCGTGCTGAGCGAGAGCCGCGCATTTGGATTCTTTGATTGCTTTCTTGTACGCTTCTTGAGCCTCACGCCTGAGGCAACACAAAGCGTTGCGACATGTTGCGACCTATGCTTGGCACAAGCGCATGTCCTCACCTGCAGTATTATTGCACCCGCGCCTCTCCATGACCTTTGCTTCAATAAAGTGCCCATCGATTTCAGCAGTCAGGCCGGTCACCACGGTGCCAGAATGGATTGGAAACACAAAATAGGTGTCTCTCATTGTAGATGGTCCTCATTGCAATTTGGCCTGTGATTCCAAGCATTGAGCAAAAGCACATCGCATAATTTGAAGCCAGGCTGCCGGCACCTGTTGAGGCACCACCTGCAACGGAGGTCATCCAGGGACGGATATATATATATATACACACATACATATGTGTATAATATTGCCACACAAGCATGGGCCGACAAACAAGTCACACAAGTTTCCCAATAATCATATTTTCTTGAACGTTGGCTTGGCATGTCGGTTAATTATGTTGATCGTGCTTTCTGGACATGAGAAGCTTTGACCAAGGAACGGAAGACCTGCCGTAGCGTGGCAGTGGCAACAGCTCCATTGATCTCCTTCACTGCTACACCTTTGGCACGTTTGGCTCAGCCTCCTATATACACTGACTTTGAAGGTCCGATATCAAGTTGTTCCAAGTTCAAGACCAATTGTTGTTTCTGCCACAGCTTGTGTGAGCTGCTTGCCACCCATGTCTCTTTCCAATCGATTTCGAGTTAGGCTCCTTACAGATTTTTCCTGGCACTTGGGTGCCCAAGAGTTTTCTGAGTACGAACGGCATTGTTAGCACTCACCAATTTCACACAATTTCGCTAGTTTCTTTTTGCATCTCCAGGCACTCCTGACCGGGGAAAACAAGTCGACAAGCTCTCTGCTGCTAAGGTGCGATATCAGTTGTGGATGACAGGAGTGTTGCTACACAGGACTCATCACCGCAATGTCCAACGAGGCCAACACTAAGCCCATGACCTCCTGCAAACAACTCGGGTTGGCAACTTGGCATCAATAAGCTCGTGAGATTTACTCCGCCGCATTTCTGTCTGTAATCCGGTGCTTGTTGCAAAAACAGTGACAATGCTAAGCCAGGAGTTCGGAAAAGTGTGTAGGATTACCCACACTGATTACCGCACCCAAATACGGGAAAATACACTCACTGAAACATCTCTGGTTTTTGGGTTCCACCGTCTATAATGTAGTCTCTACTCTAGGGCAATCCTGCAAAGGTCAGGCACCAGATTGCAGCTTTGATCCTCAAACAGGCATCGCATTTCAACGCAAAGAAACGGCAGGACATTGAACACTTCACAAGCTTCGTAAACAGACTCTCAAAAAAAACACAAATAACCATCAGGGCAAAATCTCACAGATCTGATTTGCACAAACGAGGCGAGGATCAACGCTTCCATGATGTCAGTGATTCTGGATTGATCGCTGGCTGAAAGCAAAACGGCTGAGGCAATCTTTAGAGTTTCCTGTTGTCCAGTGTGCGTTGTGTCTTTCGGCTGTCAATATTTTCTGGCCGCTGAAGAATCATCAAAAGTGAGGCAGTTACAGTTAGACAAATTATGTAAAATCAAAGGCCCATTCTTTGGCAGCATCTTAACCCTTTTGGCCAGTGGTGCGCTTAAGCTGTAGTATTCAGGAGGGTATAGATGAGTATCAGTATCGTCCATGTGTCAAGGTCCTCAAAATTGGTCATTGAACTTTCTGTTTTCCACACCTGTGGGCGGACTGGATTGTTGCCTTGCGAAGTCCGCACGGTGATGATGCTCCTGTTCACATGGTTCAGTATTGTGGCGCTTCTACCCAAGGTTTTCAACTTAGCAAGGCCTACCGACAAAAGGCTGGTGCCTGCCCGACATCGGCCGGTTCTAATCTTGTTCTCCCAGTCCAAGTTGGACTCTGTGCTCCTTGGTGAGCTTTGCGCAGGCTTCTTGGCCTCTTCTCGACCGACTCGGGGTCTTGGCCTTGGAGATTTGGTTGCACCGTCGCACTGTTTGTTCAACAAGCGTTGCCATGCATGGCCGGTCCGAAGAGCAAACCCTTTATCTTCGTCTTTTGGAAACATGTCCGTAAGGTTTAGCCAATTTTGGGGCGGCGGCGTCGACCATCTGAAATGGCAAATATGCACGGCAACCCTTTTACTGAAAAAGGCACGACAGCCCTCTTTGGAGCTAGCGGCCCTTCGCGGAATACCCCATTTCTGAACACCAAGTCCACCATAACATTGGCTCGTGCTCCAACAGGACGACCCCAAAGCTTGTCTGGGAACGTTGGCGTAGTGATCGCCTCGTGATTCATCTGGACAGCAGTGCGTAGGCTTAAGGACCACAAGGTAGTGAAAGGGTGATCTTGTTGCCAAATGGCATCCTTGAGAAGGCCCAGGCAACACATCTTGAGGACGGGACACGCCGGCGTGGACCATGGCTGAGGCACACTGGAAAGGCGAGCGCGGTCCGCAAATATCTCTCAAAGAACCAACACTCCGTTGGCATCCAGTATGCAAAGGGTTGCGGTGCATCTTCATCACCCAGGTTTGGCGCCACTTCTTCTGGGAGTTCGCGAACGTGTCACAAAGTCTTGAGACCCCGCAACAAGTTCATTGTGGGGTTGTCCGGGTACTGAGTTGACAGGGGAAAGTGCACTTCGTCCCCCCGAACAACGCCGTGCTGACTGTCGTCGGTGTCTTCTTGACCTGGTTCTTCTGAGGAACCAGTTCCTTGCTGCATCCTCGATGCCCCGTGTCCCCCACCGGCTTTTGGGAAGGGTCAAGACATGAATCTCCTTGCAACTGCCGTGCGGAAACGCGGCAAACTTCATCGAAATGATCAATTGAGTCATTGAGCAGACGTACAGACGTATCGATCACGAGACTAAGTTCACAGCAAACGCATTTAAACAATAAAGGATGACAATCCCCATAGATGACTGGTTTGTCAAGCAGCGCGTATGCCGGCAATCATCGCCTCCAAGATGACTGCAACTTGAGCCTGAGCTCCCTCAAATTGCCCGGCGAGCTCCAACAGGCAAAGATCACCTTCTGCAGGCTGCCCTCAGCAGGGCAAGAGCCAACCCGATATCCAAGCAAAGCCTCATTCTCCCGCCGACGGATCTCCGCCCTGTTGATGAAGCTCTCAATGCTTTCATTGGCCCGTTGGGCCAGCTTCCTGACTCTTAGCATCCTTTGTCCACTGTCTTGTTGTCAAGGCTTCCTTGTCGTCGATGCCTGTGAAGGAAATTGGCATCATCAGCTCCAGTGTCGGAGGAGGAGAGGAAAACCATTCTTCGTCCTTGGCATTGATTGCCCCGCACCAGTCGCCACGGCGCCAGGATCGGTCGCCATGGCAGGCTCTAGACTCTAGTCTAGCCAATGCAAACCCACGGTCCCACCACAGTGCTCCACTGTCATCTAATGCTAAACAATACCATTGCACCAAGGATTCACTCCTGTATCACTGATCTGGAAAACTGGTGCAACAAAGGTTGTTGGATCTACCAGTATCACACAAGCAAGCACCGCATGGGCACAGCACAGTGACATCAGTTCACAGAACAACTAGAACAACAACAAACATCCATAAGTCAATCCCCAATGGCAAACCATTTTGATACGACGTTTCTCCAGTTGATACGACTTAAGCCGAGGCCCCACTACAAACTTACGGTCCCACTTTAGGGGCCGCTACAACAGAAAATGTACGACGATTCCTTGCTGCCAACCGTCCTGAGCCGTCACTGGCTGAAAGGATCAAGGGCAACCTGTGGGTCTGAAGCTGGGTTTGAGACAACCTGCCAATGGTGGCAAACCGCTCCAGGTCCCTTCCAGGTCGATGTGCTCCAGAATGAAAACACAGCGCGAACGTCAACGGCGCTTCTGAGGCCAGCACGTAACCCGTGTTATTGCCTGCGCTTCGCAAAAGGGCTCATGAGAAACCCCGTCCATGGGTTTCCATGGCCCCGTTGAACTTTGCGATCCGATGCACAACTTCATGCATTCACTTATTTTTTTAAAAAACGAATATATATATATATACATAATCGATAAATAATCCCTCCCTGTTCCTGATGAAGCATTGGGGCCCCCGGCAGTAACAATTCTTCGCGCGTGTGTGCCACCTGGCTAGAGTAGGCCAAAGACCACTCTTTACAGGCTGCCCAATCAGGAATATGACTTCCGTTCGGCTATTAGCACTTGGCGCTGAGTCCCGGTGCACCTGTCACAGCAGAACTACTGCTGCTGGTTGTTGTTGTTGTTGACCTGCAGCTTTGGAGGGCTTCCGGGCGCTTCCGGGTCCCAGTCACCCAAGCAAAACATCAACAAAGTCTAAGCCGCAAAGCCAGATTTGCATTGTATCATATTGTATCTGCATGACGTGTGATCATGTCAAAAGGCACCCAGATTAGGTTCCATGAAGGTTGGCCGTCAAGGGTGACAGGTGCGTGCCGTATACACGCTGACCTTTTTATTGTACTCCGCGACGCAGGTTATGAACCCAAGCTGCAAAGCTTGGTGGCTTTAAAGTCCACCACCATCCGGGTGTGCGGGTCCCAACGGCGGCGCCTCCCTGGCCCCAGGAGATCCAGGAGGAGCATGAGCTCACGATGGCAAGACCATCAAACTTGGGAGGTGATGAGCTGCCACTGGTCTCAAAACGGAAGAAGATCATGGTGTTCCTCGATTACACGAGCGCGCTGGGCGGCCGGCAACCAGTGCTGAGAGGTCCAAGTGGACTGGGGCGGAAGAGGAGCTTTTGGACAAACAAGCCAAAAAAAGCCCGTGGAAAGCTTGTGGCTATGCCACCAAGAATGCCACCAGAAGCCATCTTCATCGAATTGAATCCTGATCCATGATTGTCCTGCTCCTCAACTTGTTCTGTTCTTGCAGGGTGGACCAGCGCTGCATCATGGCCGCGATCCTGAGGATGATGGTGTGATGCTGAGGGCGGCGCTGGGTGCTGGTGCGAGTTGAGAAATGCACTGCGCTGCTGGACATCGTGGCGGTCGTCCTATGATGGCTGAGCATTGGCGTTAAATGGGAGAGGGAAGATGAACCCTCCCGGGGGGCGACATCTCCAAAGGATGTCGAATTAAGGGCCCACCATGAACCTACGGTGAGAGAAAAAAGATATGAACCTCCCGCTGAGGGGATCCCCATTCCGAAATGATGAAGGTGCCCAACCACCCTCAGGCAAGGCCGGAGGAACCCTGGTGGCATGCGCCGTGCAACCAACCACCGATCGGAAGCGCGGATCGCCGCCGCGGATCGGTAGCAAATTGTGCAGAACTTCATTGTTCGCATTCATTGCAAGTGGATGTATCAGAGATACCATTCCATCCACAGCTCAAGGCCGCCGCACCTGGGCGGTGAGCAGCCTTGTCACCCCATACAGGATTCATTTCTCGAACCACTTTCACGAGAAGATTGAGCCAAGTGCAAGATTGAGGATGGAAGGGCGACACGTTCTTCGAACTTCAGGACCCTGCTCGTGGAACAAAGGTGCATTCCTACTATGTGGGTTAGAGACCAGTTGGCACTTGGGCAGCAAGCTCATCGGACCTGCCGGACCACCTCAGATTGCAGAGCGAAACAACCTCGAGGGCAAAGCCGAAACCATTAGCAGTGGGTTTTCAGGAGGCAGCAAAGGAGAACCAGTCCTGTTCCTCAACACACTGGCTGGAGCGCATCAGCGGCTGGCATCAGTGGCTGGAACAAACGCGGCTGGGGCACCAGCGGCTGGGGCGAAGGCAGTTGGAGCAGTGGCAGTTGGGACGGCGCCGAAACAATCACTCCACTACCACCTGCTGAGCGATGGCAAAACATGCCACAAGGTGTCAGAGAGGCCCTGGATGAGATCTCCAGAGCCAATGCCGCCGAGGCTAGGATGAAGCGCAGTGGTGTGCCCTGCACCATCGTGACGAGTTAGTCCGCAGAGCGCTACAACATGATTGACATCATCGAGGCCCACCTCGACGACCAATTGGTCAACACCGGGTTTAACTCTATATAGCTCAAACTGATGGAAGCTTGGGCAGTGACCCCTCTATGACAGGTGGGCGTGGCTACAGCCATGGTGGACCCAATGCGTAGCTGCAATACCCACCCCAGCTTTCAGGCCTGGCTTTCTTCATGAAGCACGGGCAGCAGTGACGATGCTGCCAGGGGCGAATGAGACACCGACCCTGAGCACATCAACTCCTGAGAGTGATGGCTGTGACGACAAGGACCGGCTAGGGTCGAGGTCTGTGCGGGCCACTGCGTCTGACAGTGACTTTGAGTGGTTCGGAGAAGACTAGGGTCTTGAGCTGGATCCCTGCAAAGCAGGGAGGGGGGTGCATGACGTGTGATCATGTCAAAAGGCACTCAGATTAGACTCCACGAAGGTTGACCACCAAGGTTACCAAAAGCATGCAGTATACACGCTGCACACCCTTTTTACTGGCAGAAAAAGCGCTCACTCCGTGATGCAGTATCTAACCAGAGAGGGGTGTCTATATAGTTTGTGCTAATTTGTTGCATCTACATCGTCATCTGCACATCAATTTGCAGTCAGTACTTTGATGCGAATTACTTATCGGCTCAGCCCTGCATCCTGCAATCTTGCCACCCCACCCCCCAAATGCCAACTTTGAATCCAGGCTTGGAAGAATATTGAAGGTAAGGTCTACTTTCAAACATCAAGTCATGATTAGTCATGGGAATCAACTTTCTTCCTCCAAGGAGCGTGTTGGAAGGAAAGGTTGTGCTGCCGGTGCCTTGGACAAAGCAATCTTCATCTCTTTGTAGAACTGCTGCAATCTTCAGCAGGATGCCACTAGCTCACTAGGTTAGACTCGACTAGACTGTCTCCATCCTTTGGCGAGCTTGGCTGCAGGGACCCGCACTTGGTAGTCGCGAACCTGGAATGAGTTGGACGGGACCGTGATTTTCTGAGTAAACATCAGAACAAGGTAACACATAGTGAAAGGTTAACACACAATAAGAAGCTTCTTTCACTATTCTGCTATGGGAAATCAGTCCGCTAGAGTCCGCTTGTTGTGAAACCATGCACTAAGATTGTGGAGCCTTGAGGCTCCGGAAGCTAAGCGAACAAATTCCACGCAGGCATCGCCGGGAAACAACTTAGTCAGTCTTTTTGATATTTTTTTTGTGAAAAGTAGAAATTCAGTCAGGCCATGCTTCAACTTTGGATCCGTGTTTTGGAGCACGCTGCAAAAAAAAGGACTTCGAAAACTGAGCTGCCTCTGCTTTAGCGAGGATTCATGCGACAGCAGTCTGAAGGTTTGCAGTTTCATCCGCTGACCACTGCTAACTTGAGATCTCCCCAGGTCCAACTTGAAAGCTCCAAAACTGCTCAGGCTAAAGCAACCGGTGTCCAAACAACCATCTGACAGCTGTCTACAGTGCTCTAAGGGATTGTAGCTGGTTTCGCTGCAAAAAACGATGGTACCTCACTGATTGAGCTGCAGTCCACCTGGAGAGGGGCCAAACAGAATGCCCAAACAAGTGCTTGAGGCTTTCAAAGCTGACTGGGTGGACAAATTTCTACACAATGAAGTCTCCCTTGGACAGCCACCTTGTTTTTGTTCAACAGCCCGCTTGTCTGTGATTTTCAGATTGCACTGAAGTGCCACAGTACCAATCCTGGCAAACCCAGCCTCAATTCTCCGCATCCCTGAACTTCCAAGAGGCTGAGTCCCCCTTCAGGGCGGTCGAGAGGCTCATTGGGGCCTCAACAGAACGGGCTCAATTCAGGTCAACATGACAAAGTTCCTCCAACATGGACAGGTTGGGCGTGCTACTTGTCTTGTCTGTTCAGTCTGAGCTGCTGGTGGCTTTGCGGGCCACGGTCGAGGCGAGCCTTCCAAACTTTTGTTCAGGTTGGGCGTGCTGGCCGTCGTCCGGCCGCCAAACTTCCGGGGGGAGTCCGACGGGAAATCAGTGGAGGCCGTGGAGGCCTCAGAGAGGCCTCCTTGATTCAATGGAATCCTGAGCGGGAACTCATTCACACACAAGAATAAGAAACATGTGCTCACACAATCACATAAGCTTTCTGATTCTTTTATGCACATTTTGTGAAATTCATTCGAGTGAAATGCAAATTACTTGACAACACAACACGCATGAACATGACCGCACCATGCCTTGGCCCTCTGGGCGGTTGCTGAGGAGAACAATCGATCCGCCTTCTTCGCCTGGTGCTGCTAGAGCGTGGTGAGGCCTCTCGGGCAAAGGATTCCTCCTCGGGCGATCATTCAAGCCGTCTCAGAGTGCATCCAACAGAAAGCATCATCAATGAAAGCAACGGAGAAAGAATTTGGAACAATGACGCGCACTGAATACTACTATGATCCAATAATCCATATAATATGTATGAACTACAATTGCCGGAAAATGCGCCACCTACTCCCTGGCTCCTTGTCCCTCTCCTTCTCAATCTTTTGCGAGTCCAACCTTCGGATGGGCACTTCTGGTGGCTTCCCGGAAGAATTGCCTAGATTGGAACGGCTTGTATGTCTTGAGAGCACTGCAGGGCGTGGGGCGCTGCTGGACGAGGGCTCTGAGAGGGGGGACATGCCACGGCTTCGGGATGCAGCTCTGACTGCGCTGCCCACGGCGAATTGGGATGTAGCGCTCTCAAAGCTCTCCTGCTCCGCAGCTGTGGCCCCCAAAGCCATCAGCTGCGGATCTGGACTTTCGGCCAAAGCTGTGCAAAGCAACTTCCGCTGAGAGGCCTCCACTTCGCTCAAGCAAAAGCGTATCGTGTCATTTGAGAACTGCTTGCAGGTTGCCAAAACTCCGACCAACTGTGGTCGGATGGCTTCTCCAACCTCTCTGGCACCATTGATTCGCTCAAGCTGGGTTCCCAATGCAGTCAGCAGCAAAGCAACCACATCCTTTTGAGCACAAAGTCTCAAGCCAAAGTCACTCAGCAAGGTGCGAAGTAGCACTAACTGCCGAACTGGATGCTCTGATCGAGAGATGGAGGCAATAACCATCTTGGTGACAGCCTCACAACCAACCTTCGGATGCTTGGCGAGCTGCTGAACCAGCTTGTCTGAAGCAACCCCCACCTTTACGTCACCAGCCAAGCTTGAAAGAGCTGTCCTCTCTAGCAAAGTTGGGAAGACTTTGCCCAATGCCATGTTGAGATCCAAGCCAGACAAAGCCGGACCCAGCTGCTGAACAGCACTTTGGCACAGCTCCACTGCGGAAAGGAACACGTAGCGGTCTGCACCTGTTGGGGCAGCCAATGCTTGCTGGATTGCCCTGCAAATGTGCGCAAACATGTCATCTGATCCTTCTTTTTCTTGCTTAACTTTGCCTAAAGCCTTCAGTGCGGTAATTACTGCCTTCTCGTCTCCCCTCTGTGGCATTGACAGCGCGCCCAAGACCTCAAGGCTGCAGCCTGCTGTTCGAGCCAAGCTGTATGGAACCTCCCAATGGAGACACGCAATGGTCATTCCAAGGTGAGACTTCTTGGGCTGAGAGCTTTCCGAACTCTTTGGCGAGGCTTCAGGAAGCTTAAGGTATCGCCGAACTTGTGCAATGGACTTGGCTGGCAGATCCTTCGGCAAAGCTGCAACCCAAACCTCCCGAGCTGATCTCTGAGCCTCCTCATCACCCAACGACTTCAGGTGCATCTTGCAAACAAGTGTGTACAGGCGCACAGATTGATGCCTTACTGATGGGTCGGCATGTTTCAGCCCATCTGCCAGCCTGAGCCACTCACCTGGATTTGTGCTACCCGGCTGTTGCACGATCATCTTGGAATACTCCTTGCACAGCTCCCGCAATGCACTCAAGCGACAAAGCCATCCCGTCACTGCTCCTTTTCCTGTTGCGCCTTTGCTCACTGATGCAAGCGGAGAGTCACCTTCTTCCTTGCTTGGCATCAAATGGCGCAAAATGAGCATCGCGATGGCCACAGGGCTGACGATGTTTCCGGTTGGCGGACTGAGCAACCGGAACATCGCTTGCGTCGTTTGTGTCCGGACCACCTCCTTCGAATCCCCCATGCGTGCACAAAGTTGGCGGAGCAATGGGGCCAAGTGCGCCACAAGCAACCGCCCATCCACAGTTCCGCAAAAGGAGGGAACAATGGCCTCGATGCAGATTGGAATCAAACGACTAACCCTACCTACCAAGACGATCTAAAATCTTCTGCCCACCCTCACCACAAACGACCGAAACGTAGCAGCGAGGCTTGCCAAATAAGATTCCCCACAACTATCCTGAACTGACGGAAGCAATAAGTGGGAATCCATTTTCCGGGCCCTGAGGGCTTCCAGAACATACAGGTTGGGACTTTGAACCAATCCATTCAGCTACTAGGAGCAAGGACGCTACTAGGGGCTCCTGGCATCGCTACTAGGAGCAAGAAGCTACTAGGGGCTCCTGGCCGTACTACTAGGAGCAAGAAGCTACTAGTAACAAGGGCATCATTCAACCCATTTTGCTCCATCCCCTCAAAAGGCTCGTGGCTGTCACCGCCATGCAGGCTTCGGCGTAAACGCGGACGTTCTGATCGCCCAGCCCCTCATGGACTGCACGCATACAGCCGTCCAAGAGTTCAGCCAGGGGAACATCACTCACATCCTCACCGTGGTTGGATCGTGAGCGATTCGATCGCGGCACAAACGGCCTACAGTGACTGCACAGCGCCACCAAAGTGGCCTGCCACCTGTACCGGCTGACGTAGATTTTTAAATGGTAGCTTCTTGATATTAGCATTAGTAGCGATGGGTAAGGGATCAAAATAACAATAAAAATAGAATCAAAAAATATTCAACGGGGATCAAAAAAATAAAAAGGTAATCAAAAAACAATATTCTAGCCCACTGAGGATGGTTGGGGTAGTAGTAGTAGCAGTAGCAGTAGCAGTAGCAGTCAGCAGCAGCAGCAGCACCAGCAGCAGCAGCAGCAGGAGGAGGAGGAGTGGTAGTAGTAGTGGTAGCAGTAGCAGTAGTCACGGCGTTCACACGAAGTTAGGCCCTACATGGCGTTGTCAGAGCGCTCGGAGACAGAAGGACTAGGATACCAGGGGACCAGCGGACCACAGGACCAGAGGACCAGGAGACCGGAGGACTAGGGACCAGTGGACTCAAGGACCAAGGGACCAGGGGACCAAAGGACCAGTGGACCAGAGGACCAAGGGACCACATTACCAGAGGATCCGCAGACCACAAGGCCAGGAGAGCAGCAGAAAAGGCCTATCAAGGAATATTTATTTTTTGATTCGCTTTTTACTTTTTTTTATTATCCTGTTTTTATTTTTTTTGATGCTCTTTTAATTTTTTTTGATACCTATGCCAGTAGCGATGGCCTCCGACCTACTAGCTTCTTGCTAGTAGCAAGGTGCCCTGCTCAATCCGTCCAGTCCTCCAAGCGCTGGGCCATGATGGCGGACAAGTGAGTCAACGCTGCCACTCGGCACTGCCAGTTGCGGCTGTAGAAGCACCTGGTCCAGCCCTCGCCGAAGAGTGCAATGAGAGGCGCGACAAAGTCCTTGGCCAATGTCTAGAGTCTAGAGTCTACAGGAAAAATTCAGTAAGGGCGCAGTAAGCAGGCCAATTTCAAGAAACATGCCAGTTAAAGCAATGTTGCAGTGTTTTCTTACAAACGCCTCTCCCCAAAGAAGCAAGAAGCAAGAAGCACATCTGCAGCTGAAATTAAGTCAAAACCATTGCGCTTGAGAATGTTTTCTCTTGGAAACCACTCCTGAACGAACCTATGTATAACATACATTCCTGCCTGGACATTCCGAATTCCTGGGGATAGGGGATGGCAACACTAACATGCAAAAAATAGAAAACACATCAACACATAGAAAACAAACTAGACAATGTTTGAGACAATTCCAGCTTCAACCTACAATCTTGGTTTTGCAACCCCTATT